GCATACAAAAAAATTTAAAGAAATCTATAAATTTTTGAGAAATTGAGGAAGTGATTTTTTTTCAGATAGACACAAACATTGTCAGTGATCATATTCAGAACAGGCATTAGTAACCTGATCCCAAATAGCTTTTGCACACCTCACTAAACTTTTGCTTACTACATAGCCACAGGACTGGGTGCTCTGATCCACCATCAGGGACCATACCTCCTACCCTCCTTGTACATCAGGTACCAGAGTGTTTCTGAATCATTAACTAGGGAGGGAAGGACAGGAAGAGAGAAGATGGGAAAGGAGGGTAGAAAAGTCAAGGAATGTATTCTCTGCAGTTTTTTAAATTGGATTTCTGCAGGACTTATATAATACATCTTGGTCATATTTAGGCCCTTTCCCCTTTCTGTCATATATATTCAAGGTTTATTGAGCCATGCTTGTGTCCTCAAATGTCCCTTGGTGTGAGTCCATTCACTGGAGCCTGGTCAACCTATCTAGTGTCACTCCCTTAAAGAAAACCAACTCTCCCTCTCCCAGTAGTCATTGGTTGCAAACAGTTCCTCAGCTAAATTTGGGGCTTCTTACCCATTTCCCCACTTCTATGCTGGGATTTTCTAGTTTGAACTTTCATGGGTCCTGAGCATGCTGTCACCATTGCTGCAAGTTCATATGAGCAACTTCCCAGGCACCTGGAAAACTCTGTTTCCTTGTGGTCATGCACCACCCCTGGCTCTTACAGTCTTTCATCCCCCTCTTCCACAATGGTCCCTGAGCCCTGGGTGGCAGAGGCTTAATATAGGAGTCCTACCCAAGGACAAGCAGTTTGTAGTCTCTTATTCTCTGCAGAGTCTTTTTGTCTGGCTTGGAAACAGTATACCTATGTATTAGACAGCTTTCCATTGCTATGAGAAAATCAACTTACAAGGAGGAAAGATGCACTTTGATTCATAGTTTCAGAGGTTTCACTTGGCCTGGTTTCTATGGGCCAACGGCAGCAGAGTATGTCATGGTGAGAGAAAATGGTAGAGGAGACTGCTCACCTCAGAGGAGCCAGGAAGTAGAGAGCAGAAGAGGTAGGGCCAAGGCCTCAATATTCCCTTCAAAGTCACACCCTCGGTCACATAACTTCTTTCCCACCTCCTAAATTCTACCACCTCCTGATTGTTCTGCATGTTGGAGACAATGCCTTCAACACACAGGTCTTTGGAAAACACTCAAGATTCAAACTATAGGTGTAGGGAGATAGCTCAGTTGGTAAAATTCTTGCCTTCCAAGCACAGGACCTGAGTTCAGTCTCCAGGATCAACATAAAAAGCCAAGCGTGGTTGCATGCACTTGTAATCTCAGTGCTGGGGAGGCATAGACAGGTGAAAGAGTTTGTCTCAAAGAAAAAAGATGGACAGTGTCCTGAAGAACAACACCAAGGTTGACCTGTGACCTACAGAGAGAGAGAGGAGAGAGGGAGAGAGGGAGAGAGAGAGAGAGAGAGAGAGAGAGAGAGAGAGAGAGAGAGAGATCCAAATTATAACAACCTGTTTCCCTCCTTGGACTCAGATTCCCTATGATCAACCTCATCATCCAAAATGCAGGGAACACCTATTTTTAGTCCTGTTTACATACCTCTCAGAAACATACGATACTTTAAGACAGTGATTGTCACAGTGGGCAATTTTTATGTCTCCTTGTGTTCATAGAGCATTTGGCAATGTCTGTTCATATGTTCTGTTGTTGTAGTTTTGCCTGGCCTCTAGTCGATAGAGACAAGAGATGCTGGTAGACTCGTACAAAGCATAGAACTTCCCTATCTGGTCCAGATATCAATAGTGTCAAAGTTGGGTTGGGGGTGCGCCTCAGCTTTTAGAACACTTGCTTAGCATGTATAAAGGCCTGGTTTCAATCCCCAGGATAGTTTAAACCAAGTGTGGTGACACATATCTGTAATCCCAGCACTTGGGAGGTGGAGGCAGGAAGATTAGAAATTCAAAGTAATTCTTGACTACAAGGGGAGTTGGAAGCCAGCCTACACTACATGAGACTCTGTCTTAAAGAAAAACAAAAAGAAAGAAAATAGTGTCAAGTTAAGAAACTCTGCTTGAAGGAAAAAGCAGACCTACCCTCTTAAATCAAGGTCAAGTTGGCAGTTTGCCTGATACCATGAATTAAAAAGCCTTGTGAGATTCCTTCACTGCAGGCTGCAATGGGTAAGCATGGATTGCCTTTAGGACATGGGTCTTCATTATTCTTTGCAGTCTGCCACCATCTAAGAGACTCTCCTGGCCAGGGACACAGTGTAGTCAGTAAAGTGCTTGCCATTCCAGCACGAGGATCTGTGTTCAGTCCACTAGAATCCACATTAAAAAATGGGTCAGGAAATGCTTTACAAACAATATATGTGATCTATATTTTATGACTTAAAATAATGTATGTGACTTTAAAAGAAATGAGGTTGGAGAGATCATTCAGAGCTTAAGAACATTTGCTGATCTTCCAGAGGACCAGAGTTCAGTTTCTAAGCACCCACATTGGGCAGTCCACAACAGTCAGTAACTTCAGTTCCAGAGAGTCCAGTGCTCTCTTCTGACCTTCACAGGTACCTGCACACAAGTGTCATACGCTCAACACCTAAACACGTACACATAAATTTTTAAAAATTGACCTTTTTAAAAAATCCAACTATGGCTGGATGTGGTGGCTCATACCTTTAATCCCAGATCTGGGGAGGCAGAGGCAGGTGGATCTCTGTGAAATTGAAGCTAGCCTGGTCTATATAGTGAGTTCCAGGCCAGCTGGGGCTATAAGGATTAAAAGAAAATCTAAGTATGATGGCACAAGTTTATAATCCAAGTGCTGAGAAGGTGGAAGGGGATCCCTGGAGCTCACTGACCAGCCAACCTAACCTACTTGTTGAGTTCCAGGCCAGTGAGAGACCATGCCTCAATAAACAAGGTGAACAGCACCTAAGGAATGACATCCAGAAACTGCCCTCTGGTCTCCACATATACACGTGAAAACATCAAAAGACAAGTTCTTAAAGATCCTGTTATCATTTCATTCGTTCATTTGTCATTATTCTTTCAACACACACCCATTGGGCTCCCTCTTACACTGGGACAGGTCCTGGGACTAAAAGATGAACAACACCAAGTCTCAGTGCTCAAGCTCATGTGTGTGGGGGGGAGGGGGGCAGATGTTATTATCTCAGGCGAAAGCCCTCATGAGCTATATGGGAGTAAGGCAATATTCAAGAAGATGTGTTCAAAGTTTCCTATGAGGAAAAACTGGCCCCCTTCATCCATTGCTATTTTTCAGTTTCCAAGCAGGGATCCTTCTGAGGGCACTTTGTATGAAGAGGCAGGAGTGGGAGAAGTAGAAATACACAGTTCAGCTTCAACATCAGGAAGATACCTGTGGTGTTCCCTGGCAGGGGGAGGTCCAAAAGGAAGGAAGAAATTATCTTCATATATCTTTGAATTTCAGGATCCAGTATCTGACCATCCAGAGTCAAACAGACAAAAGGGAAAAGTTGCAGAAGCTGGGAAACACTCTAACCAAAGTAGGTCAATTCCACCCTCATTTGTTAAAGGCTTTTTCAGTCACAAAGCGTAAGAGATACAATCACAGGTCTGGATAAGTTGGTAAAAGAGCCAGAGGACAGCAACTTACATGGGAAGCAACCTCCTAGCAATACAGATGGTTCATGAATGTATGTAAAAGACATGAGAAAACAAGGGGCAGGAAGGATAGAACAAGCCCCACCCAGCACAGAGCTCTCCTCCCAGAGTTAGGGATGTAGAGCTCTGGGTTCTAGTTCCAGCTCTGCTACTAACTTGCTGATCTTAGGCAAGTTCTCTCTCTATGGGTCTTTGTTTGGTAGCCTGTGAAATGAAGGAATTGAACAGACTATAAGGATTCAGCTTTCCAAAGTGCACTGTAGACTTGAAAAAAGCAAACCCTAAGTTTCCTCATCTGCTTATTCCCGAAGCATCCCTTTGAGACAAAAATATAGCATGACCTTCAGTCCTGAAGCCCAGACAGTACAGCTAAAGGGAGTCAATCTAGCCAAACAGGAAACAAAGTTGTGGAACTGACTCAGGACTCAGACTCAGTCTCAGAATCAATTTCCCTGAGGGATTCTTACACCACAGACTTTGGGGTTCCAGTTTTCAATGCTTGTGGGGAAAGAGTAACCCTGGAGCCCTCAACCTAGCAGCCTTGACCCTCTTCCCCATTCCTTCCATTCTGCCAGCCTCAGTGCAGCCTGTCCCTCATTTCGCAGGTCCCAGGGGAAAGCAGCCCAGGGTTCCCAGGAGTTTCTATGGGAAAGAAATGCACACTGCCCCCCCCTGTCTTTCTTTCCTTCTCCAGTTCCCTCTCTGGCCCTGCAAAGTTTGTGGTGGTGAAAGGCTGTTCCCAGGAGCCCACAGGCATGCCGACAGAAAGCCAGTCCCTCCAGGCCCGGGAGGGGTGGGGGTGGCGTGGAGAGCTACAAACGGTCCCTCCACAGATCCAAAAACTCCATTCAGCACTTCATGAAAATTTCCTATCTATAACCTGGTGCCTGTGAAAATGTCAAGGCTCTGAGCTGGACAGATGTGGGTTCCTCTTTTTCTGGGGTAAGGCTTCCTGGCCTCTTTCTGATCCTTCTCTGTAAAGTGAGAGTGATCAGGGTCTCAAAAGGAGGTTTCAAGGAGATACCAGGGAAAGGTGCTCAGTACATTAGACACTGCCAGGGGAGGCTCCAGAATTTCCTTCTAGAATTAAACATAGGCGCAGCAGCTGGACAGTGGAGGTGGAGGGCGGGGGAACTCAGTGAACTGCCTCACCAGGGGACCCGGAATCCAGGTAGTTGTTACCTTTGGGGAAGACAGGGACCCCTTAAGAGAGACCACTATAGTTGTTGGGGGACAAGAGATCAACTTCTGCTGAGCTCCATGACTCCGGGGACACGAGCAGGGCCAACCTGCAGATTCCTCGGGTGCCCTGTCGCAGAGGGGCACGTTACTCACAGTGTGCACTGCACTGGAGAGTAGCAACAGCAGCAGCAGCAGCAGCAGCAGCAGTAGCGACAGAGGCTGCCAGGGTGACAGCCAGGGGCCCATGGTACCAGGCGCGCACCTGCAGGTGCACTGACGTGGTCCACTTATTCACTGGTAACTAGGGAGCTCAGCCTCCTGTTCAGCGTCCCGCTTGCTCAGCATCGGATACCCTGCGCGTCCTTGAATCCGGAGGAGCCATGACTGGACCAACCCAAACCCACCCGATCCGTAGCAGGTCTGAGGACTGTTGCTCCCAGAACTAGGTAGTCCTGTGCTAAGCAGCACGGTCTATTGATAAGGACAGGAAACACACACTGCACAGTCTCCACCCAGCAGGGACTGGGGGCGGGGAGGGGGGAGGAGATAGAGGGAGGAATCCCAGCCTCCAGCCTGGGAATGCAGGCTCAACCCAGCCTCCAACTGTAACCTTTTCTCCATTCCCACTCTGTGGCGTCTAAGAGCTTAAGTCACATATGGACAACACAGACAATGCTTTTTCTGGTTTTATTTTTTCCTAACACAGGGTCTTACTATGTAGCCCTGGCTGGCCTCAAACTTGCAAACCCCCTGCCTCAGTTTCTCCAGTGCTAAGATTATGGATGTGTGCCACCACACCTGGTTTGGGGCATCCCTAATAACCATCTAACATTCCCCAGGCCGAGGTTCAAACACACAGGGCTTAGTCATCACCTAACGGGTGAATTTACCTGCTGTTACCCTTGCATATTATCTCCCATGTTCACTGTTTTTCCTCCTTATTAAAGTTGTAAATGGGACTGGGTGGATAGCTAAATTGGTAGCATGCTTGCCTAGCATGCATGAAACCTTGGGTTCAATCCCCAGTACCACATAAACCTCTGTGGTGGGGTACACCTAGAATTCCAGCACTAGGAAGGTGAAAGCAAGAGGATTAGAAGTTTGAGGTCATCCTGAGCTCATAGTCAGTTGGAGGCCAGCCTGGACTACATGAGACTCTGACTAAAAACAAAACCAACCAAGCAAACAAACAAAAAACTGTGATACTGGCCTGTGCCACAAATTCTCTCCCCAGGATCCCTTCCAGGGGTGGCAGATTTTAATGCTGTCAGGTGAGACCCAGGAGGACCCTTATATATACCCAGGCATTTGAGGACTGTGCTGACAGTGAGCTCCCTGGAGGGTTTGGGATTGCTAGTGTCCCTCAGAGGCTATTTAAGCAGCAGGCAGCTATTCCCAGCAGCCTGTTTAACATGAGTATGCCTAGGCACTCAGCTATCCTGGATGTTAGCATTTGGCCCCTCATTACAAGGTCCTCCAAATGACTCTTCAAGATCCAGTCTTTCTTTGTCCTGACAACCCCCTCGCTCTTGCTCTCTTGCTTTTGAGACAGGGTCTCCCAGTAGCTTCAGCTGGGCTGGAACTGGCTATATAGACCAGGTTGGCCTCAATCTCCCAAAGATCTGCTTGCCTCTGCCTCCTGGGTATTGGGATTAAAGGCATGCATCACCACCTGGTACTTTATGTCAAGTTGACGAATTCCTCTAGACCCCCAGGTGACTATACTCTTCAGAAGAGCATACAGAAGCTGGAGGAGGCTTCTACCACATGGCCAGGGACCAGCAACTCTGATGTTGAGAGAGGAAAGCCTGGTCCCCTATGCCCAGCTTTTAGTAGTCTTCCTTCCCAGAAGTGACTATTGTGAGACCGAGTTTGGTAAACACCTGCAAAAGTAAAGGGAGAAGATTGCTTTCAGTGTGGTGCTCGGTCACACATCAACCTTGAGCTGGCAACCACAGGTGCTGACTTCCTTCCAGGGACTTTTTCTTCCACCAATACCCACCAAGGGAAATGTATGAAGTTAGTGTGATTACAGTAGCACAAAGCAGAGGATGTTTGTGAAATTCAGGCCCACTTTGATATGCTTTCCCTCTTAGAAAAGGTGAGGTTAATTTTGATTGTCAACTTAAAGGAATTCAGAATCAGCATGGAAATAAATCCGGGCATGTCTGTGAGGGAGTTTCTAAATTAGGTTAATGGAGGTGGGAAGTCCCACCCTAAATGTAGATTGCACCATTCCATGGACTAGAGAAGAAAATGAGCTGAGTACCAGGATTCATTCATCTCTCTGCTTTTGGTTGGACACACAGTGTGAGCAGCTGCCTCGCATTCTGCCCATGCCTCCCGACCCTGATAGGCTGTATCCTCAAACTGTGAGCCCAAAGCAGCCATTCCTTCCTTAAATTGCTTTTGTCAGGTGTTGCTTAGCAGCAACAAGACAAGTAGCTAATAGAGAGGATAACTGCTAGGACCATCCTGACCTCTTCCTCCTTTTTCACTAACATATTCGCACAGGTGTACACACGTACAAGTAAGGCCAGCTCTGGTGGCTGATGCGTTTGGGCTAAGAGCTGAAGCAAGTTCTGCACTCTTGCCTTCCTACAAAGAACCTGTTGTCTGGATTATCCTGGGCTAGACTGTGACTAATTGAAAGCCAAGGTCACCCTACCTACCATCAGTCTAGGTTCCTTAGTGGCAGGGTACTGGTCTACCACTGTAGTTTTCCTTTAGAAAACTTCCTTGCTCACAAGTATAAATCCCATACTCCAAGAAAGTGCCACTGCTGCACCAGTAGAGATTATTTGTTGGGTTGGTTGTTGTTGTGGTTCATAGACTTTACAGCTGGATGGGATCATTGATTGATTTTCTACCTAGGCAATTTGCATAGTATCTTCTGATACTATGGGAGCTGGTCTTCAGGGAGAAGGCCTCCAGATCAGTTCCAGCTCAACTGCTCCAAGTCCTGTATCTGAAGTATGTCCTGCCTTCAGCAATAGGGTCTTACCCTCAAGTTCTGGGAGGCAATCATGGGCTATGGCAATAACCCATGTTATTTTGGGAGTGTTATTTTGGGAGGTTGCTGTGATGGTTTGAATGATAATGTCCCCCATAGGCTCCAAGTGTTTGGACATTCTGTCCCCAGATGGTGGTGCTGTTTTGGGAGGTTTTAGAAGGTGTGGCTATCCTGGAGGAAGCACGTCACTGGGGGTGGGCTTAGAGAGTTCTTAAGCCTTGTCAGATCTCCAGTCCTCTCATGCTTCCTGTGCCTACATGATGATGTGAGAGCTTAGCTTCTGCTGCTCCTGCTCCAGCTACCTTCAGCCACCATGGCTCCCTGCCATGACAGACTGTAATTCCCCTGGAACCATAAGAGCAAATAAATTCTTCTTTTTATAAGTTGCTCAGGTCAGTGTTTCTATCACAGCAACAGAAAAGTGACTAATACTGTTGCCCTCTGGCCTCCACATGTACGTGCACCCAACTGTGCACAAAAGATTTGCAATTTTTACTAGATAAACTTCTGTGTTTCTTGAATATTTTCTCTAACAATTCAAAGCATTAATTTTGAATTGAAAAAATAATAAGAAAACACAAAAAATGTGTTCTGTGCTCTGTACGAGAACCTAATGATGTCTAATGACAAAGCAAGATAATGTTTATTCTGGACAGTTCTCTATCTAGCCTGTGGCAAGCCATTCTTCTCTAAGTGGGTAGCTCTGTGTTTTAGACAATTGACAAAAGGTTTTAAGTGCTCTGTGAAAGGCATTTTTACAAACCGTGGATGCTTGTAAAACCTGCCTCAGAAAATAATTTCACAACCGGGCTATGTATTGGTTACTTTCTATAACAAAATATTTGACAGAAGCAGCTTAAGGAAGGAAGGAAGGGTTTATTGTGGCTCAGTTTGAGGGCACAGTCTATGGTGGGGAAAGCATGGTGGCAGGACTGTGAGGGGCAGTTGGTCACCTTGCATTCATAGTCAGGAAGGAGAGAGAGAGAGAGCGAGAGTGAGAGACAGAGAGAGATTTTGATGCTCAGATCACTTTCTCCCTTTTATTCAGTTCTAGAACCTAGCCCATGGGAAGGTGCCCCCCCCACTTCAGGGTGGGTATTGCCACCTCAATTAAACCTTTCTGGAAAGACTCTTGTGAATATATCCAGAGGTTTGTTTCTATGGTGATTCCAAATCGCATCGAGTTGACAATGAAGATTAATCATCTCGCAATGCAAGAGGAGGAGAGGGAAAGCTATTAATAACAATGTAGGGAGCTAGAGAGATGGCTCAGCAGTTAAAAGCCCTTGCTTCTCTTGCAGAGGACCAAAATTTGGTTCCCAGCACCCATATTGGGTGGTTCACAACTATGGGTAGCTCCAGGGGATCCAAAGCTGCCTTCTGGCCTCCATGGGCACCAGCATACCACACACACACACACACACACACACACACACACACACACACTGTGTATTTACTGCCTGTTTGGACTCTGTTGGGATTGGGGGGAGGTGTTTTCACATTTAGTCCTCCACGGCTATATGAGGGACTAGAGCCAGAGTCTTGGGAATGTTGATTGTTCATCCTCATTCTGCACACTAACTAGGGTGGAAGGTGGCATTTGAAGCTGACCTGAACCCCAGCCTGCTCCTTTCACCTTCCAAAGCACTTTGTTTCTTGAGATAGGGTCACATGTAGCCAAGGATAGCCTTGAACTCAATATGGAGCTGAGGATAACTTTGAATATATGATCCTCCTGCCTCTACCTCCTGAATGCTGGGATCACAGGCATGTGCTTCTTCGCCTGGTTTATGTAGGGCTGAGGGTGAAACCCAGGGCTTGCTGCATGCTAGGCAGACAGTCCACCAACTGAGCCACATCCCCGCCCAGCAAACAACATTGTTTGGTGTAGGAGTGAGAAGATCTCAGAAGAGCAAGCAGAATCATAGACACCATGATGATAATTGTGGAACAATACCATGTTGCACACCCTCCAAGCACCAATGTAACCCTCACGGGGACTGGTCTCTCATCTTAATGACTTCTCATGTCTTGATTCTAATCTGGTTCTCCAACCTCCAACCCACTGCAGAGGAAGGTGGGACCTAGAAACCAAAGTCATGAACTCCAGAAATTCACTATGGACTTCTAAGAGTAATTTAAAGGTATCCTGAGGGTAGGAGAGACTATATTTGATTTTAGGATAAATTCCTCTCCTAGTTTCCTACAGATTGTATATGTGTGATATGTATATGCTCATGTGGGTTTGTATACATGTGTGTAGTGCATCTATGTTCATGGGCAGGTCAGAGGCCAAAGTCATGTGTTATCCTCAGTCACTCTACACTATTTTTTTAGACAGAGTGTCTCACTGACGCTAGAGGCCACTGATTTAGGTAGACTGGCTGTCCAGTGGGCCCCAGGGATCCTCCTGTC